AATGCTGTCACTTCTACAGCCCCGATATTGCGAGCCACGTCAAATGCACTCACGTACAACCAGCCAGAGTCTCATTGAGCACTTTTCACTTGCTGACTGAATGTTTTCGGAGATGAAAAAAGAACACTGCAGTTGTTTGTTTCATGACTTATAAAACATTTTTTCCCCCTTCATACTGTAATCCACGTAATTGACATGTTTACGTGTATCGCAAGTTCAAAATTTTCATCGATCACTGTTCAGATAGTATGATGCATCGTAGTTGGCGGCCATGTTGTTGGAAACGGTGACAACAAACTACCGTTTGAACATGCAGATTCACCATGTCAAAGAGAGCATCCGATTGTTCCGCGGTTGGATTCAGCGCGGCTTGATTGATCATGCCTGCGTGAATGCCACGCACATACAAATAAAAAAAGCAAAAAAAGAAAGACTTTGTGAACAGAGGACGCCACTCGTCTTCATCTGCTGAGCAAGAATCCACTTTGACCAAGTTAGGTCTGCCCCTCAAGCTCCAAGGGACAGCACTTGACAGCATCATCATCATCATCATCATCATCATCATCATGTGAAAGCCAATCAAATGAAATGTCGGGTCACACAGAGTATTTGTTCCTTCCCAGTGGCGCATATGATGAGGCGCGTGACGTCACGAAGATTCCTATCCATTTCTTGTCCATCAACTGAGCGTCTCTCTCTCTCTCTCTCTCTTTTTCTCTTTCTCCTTTTTCTCACGCACCGGGCCTGCTCGCTGCGCGTCCGCGCCGCCCGCTTCACATCTCGGCGATGACGTCACGGGCGAAGGTGGGCCGACAATAAAAAGGCGCGCGGTCCGTCCCGCCGCTTCAGCTTCACACTCGACTTCGGCGCGGAGGAGGTGAGCACGCGCACGGGCACGCACATTTGGGGACGTGCTCGCGCCGCCTTGGGGTGCCGGTGGGGTCGGGTGGGGAGAGGGGCGGAGGGGCGGCGAGCCGAGACCTGCGACCGGGCCCCCCCTCCATCCCACACCCGAAGCGTGCTCGCAAGGTGACGGACAAGACGGCGCACGCCGGCCGTAAAAGTCTTTGGAATAGTTGACGGCTCGGCTCTGCGCGGCGCCTCCATCCGCTTCCGGCGTGCGCGCGTCGTCGCGACGCCTGCGGCGCGTGCTCGCCGCAGGGGGGCCGACGTGCGCCAACAGACGCTCACGCGCAAACTGTCTCTTTCTTATCGGCTGTCGCGGGACTCGGAAGTGACAGTGGACCCCCGCTAGGACTCGTCAGGTATCTGCACTCGAGGATTTCATTCGCTGGCCATTTTTCACTTGCCGGCAATTGAAATCACGTCGCTGCGCTTTCGACCGTTCGTCAAAATGGGCTCGATCCGGTTCTGTTCAAAACAAGTGAACTGCTCATTTTAGAAATACACCAATGAGATCATCTCATTGGGATTTTGCAGGGAATGATTGAATGACTAAACGCAGAATTTTTTTTAAGGAATAGTTGTATTTAACTTTGCATCCCAACTTTCAGATCTCAGACGATCTTGTTTTCCTAAAATGAAAACAAACAAAAAAAAAAAAATCGATTTTTTTGCTGCTTGGGTTTTTAATAACAGTTGAGCTAAATTACACTTTTTATATTTGATATCAAGGTTCTGGAGTAAAGAACGAAGTAATGAGTCTGAACGCCGGGGTGATTTGCACGTGGAATATATGGTTGACTCCCCCCAAAAATCCACTGAAATGGGATTTGGGGGTGGATTTTATTCAAGAATAGTTCAGCTTTAATTAGCTTTCTGCATGAGTTTTTTTTAAACAGTGGATTGTATCTAATGCACCCAAAAAACAAAGTCAATATATTTTGGGGGATTTTTCAGGAAAAACACCTGAATTACGTTTAACCTTCTATAGCATGAACTCCGATAGTCCCCAAAACAGCGAGGAAAACTTAACTGATAGCCGTGGACTCAACCCGAACTCATTCATCACTTTCACAGGATTTTGGAGGAGCTACAGTACCGAGTCAAAGTAACTTCAAAATGCACGGAGAAAAAAAAAAAAAAAATTAAGAAAGCCGCATTTCAAGAATTGAAGTTGTTTTTAACTCAGCACAAAAAATCCTGAAATGCATTCACTCATTACCTATTGCTCAAACACTATTTTTATATTATTTCTATACTACAGTAATAATATATATATATATATATATACACATACACACACATATATATATATAAATGTGTGTGTGTCTGTATCTTTATATAAATATAGATAAGATTTTTAATAATAGTTCAATTGCATTCAGCTTTTGCTACTTTAGACGATAAAACGCAAGGCAGAAAATGGAGAAAATGTTAAGGGGTAAGTTTTAGTCACAGTCTTATTTTAAAAAATTGACAATTTTGAACGTGAGGGATCGTAACGGCAATGCTTTGTGGCTTTGGCAAATGGTGCCCCCCCCTCCACTGAAGGAGACTTTTTGGATAGAGTAACGGCAATAAAAGTGCACGACGGTTTGACAGAAACCGTGTGATCTGCCCTTTAACCTCTTGCGAGTCAAGCGCGTCAACGAGTCCGACTATTCTTGACTCATTTCTCCAATCGTCAGAACATGCGATTGGAGATGATTTTTCCATCTGCTTTTGTGTGAGCGCAAAATGGCGGTCGCGCCCCGGCACTTGAGATCGCAGAGCCCTCTGGCGCCTTGCGGCAACATCACCGGGTGGCGTGAAGGCAAAAGACTGCTCGAGTGACCAACACGCATTTGCGGTCGGGTTTTTTTTTTTTTTTTCCTGGTACGGGCAAACAGACCCCAAAATGGAATCCGCAGTTTCACATGGCGTCAAACTTCATTAGGCTCACGGTCAAGAGACTTTGGGAATGAACGGTTGCGAAAAACCTGGAATTCAAATCCTCCGATCAGTCAAATGAATTGATTTGCAAATGGGATCTTCAGTGGGCTCAGTCCGTACCCATGACTGAGCAAATGTCCGGACCCGTATCATTGACGGTTACTTTTTTTGACCCGGTCTTAAGTGGGAGTCCTTCTGCTTTCTCAAAAGTAGTTCCAGTAAGTACAGCGTCCGATTACTTCTCCTGTTGGTGTGCGTGCGTGCGTGCGTGCAGGCGCGTTGGAGTCCCAGGCCGACCGAGCGACAAGAGAGGAGGAGGAGGAGGAGGACGAGGGGAGCTTTGTGGCACGCAAGCGCGGATGCTTCCGGTTTGGAGGCGGCCATGTTCCCCGCTTGGCACTTGCCCGACGCGTGGGCGGTGACGGGCGCCTTGATGTGGTTGCTGTGCGCGCCGCTGGCGCTGGGGCTGACACGCCTGCTGTGGAGTTTGCGATGGAGGCTGAGCAGGGACCCCCGAAACCCGCTGCCCCTGCCCCAAGGCTCCATGGGGTGGCCTCTGGTCGGGGAGACGCTGCACTGGCTCGTCCAGGTGAGCGAGTGTACGACTGTGCGCACTCTGGAAATCTTTGGCTGTCCGTCCTCCGAGCGCGCTTCACTGGAAAGCTGCAATTCGTCCGTTCATCGACAACTAATCGGTGATCAAATTCAGCCAAATTCATGACAGTCAATTCCATTCATCAAATCTCTGACTTCTCCAGTCGAGACCGATTCTCTCTGCGTTTTTTTTTTTTTCCCAAATAAGCCATTTGCAAACATTTGCTTTCACTTTGGAAAACAATGGCCAACCGGAGGGATCAAGGAGTCGGTTTCCAACTATGTTTGTCTTGCATGACTGTATTCTACTGCCTCTCGGTGGCCAAGGTGGGCGCGCCAAAATATTAGTCGCAGTCTCGCAACAAGCAAGAAGCCGCAGGATGTTTGTAAGTCGGGGAGGAGCCAAGTTTAGCCTCGGTTGCGAGCGCAAGCTAAAGGGACTCCTTGACCTTTGTTTGTTTTTTTCAAAATCCCCAAAATCCGTAAGCCGCTTATTTTTAATACGGTGATGATGATTTTGAAATGAAGTGTTTGGGGATCATCGTTTGCGATGTAGCTATGCCTTCATTCAACGACAAATGAACGAAGGCAATTGGAAACATTTTGGGGGGCCGTCGGCTAACCCGTCGTCATCGGCGAACTGGGAAAAGTCTGATGGGCGGCTGGTCGGCAGGGCTCCGACTTCCACATCTGTCGCAGGCGGCGTCACGGCAACGTGTTCAAGACGCACCTCCTGGGCAAACCCGTCATCCGGGTGACGGGCGCCGACAACATCCGCAAGATCCTGATGGGCGAGCATAGCCTGGTGTGCACGCAGTGGCCGCGGAGCACGCGCATCATCCTGGGACCCAACACGCTCGTCAACTCCACCGGCGACGCCCACAAAAGCAAGAGGAAGGTACGGCCACTCAGCTGGTGCGGGGGGGGTCAAAAGTCAAGCGAGTCGGGTGGAGTCAAGTCTTCACTTGGCTTAGGCAAATCGCCACACACTGTTCGGAAAAAGGTGCGGGTCCGTCGGCTTATCACTGGGGCAGCATTTTGTGGGACCCTTAGGACTCGCCCCCTTCGCGTATGTCAAATCAGTCACATATTTGTACCCTTTGCGGGCAAACCAGTAGCCAAGGCTCCAAAAAGGCTCCTGTCCACATTGGGAGAAATATTGCCCTACCACGCCTGCTCGCACTGAAGTGGAACTGACGACCACGCTGACTCCTGGACTTGCTGAAGTTCATCTCCATAAGAGAAGAGAATCAAGCTTGCGATGACCCTTGCGGCGTACAGAAGGCGCTCCTTCTCAGCGGTCCCTTGCGGGTCTTTGGACCATTGGTGTACCTTATCCAACTGTAAACTCTCCTGACTTGTTCTGAGGGTTTCCGTGAACCCCAAAGGGCTCGTCCCAAAGCAGTGGAGCTTGACAAAGCCTTTTGCGTATCTGTCCAGGTGCTGGCCAAAGTGTTCAGCAGAAGCGCTCTGGAGTCGTACCTGCCCAGGCTGCGGGACGCCGTGCGGCGCCAAGTGGCCGACTGGTGCGCGCGGCCCGACGCCGTGGACGTGTACGCCGCCGCCAAGTTGCTGACCTTCCGCATCGCCGTGCGCGTCCTGCTGGGTCTGCGGCTGGATGAGGAGCGAGTGGTCTACCTGGGCGCCATCTTCGAGCAACTCATGGAAAATCTCTTCTCGCTTCCCATGGACACGCCGCTCAGCGGCCTTCGAAAGGTCCGTGTAACAATCTGCGCAGCGTTCCTTTTTTTCCCCCCTGTTTTCGATTGGAAATTGGAAATGCAGCATGAGATGTGGAAGTGAGTCACGCCATCGGAACCCACATGGCGATCTCCGAGACACACTGACGTCGCATTCTGATGCGGTGCAGTCGCAGGGATGGAAGTTCACGGGCGTTCAGTGTTGGTTTTTGGCCTGACCCATTACGTGGAGCGATTTCTCCAGATTCGATGAACCTTTGGATGAAGGACCGCAGAGGATGAAATCCCTCAAAACGTTGTCCTTCATCGGTTCGATTATTTTCTCTGGCCGTTGGTCACAAAGAGGCGAAACCTCGCCCTAGCCTGGCTTGTGAGCGACTAATCGAATCGGGGAAGCTCCTTTTTTTTAGCCAATCATAGCACCTGCCCGACCCCAGTGAGCCTGTTCACTCTTTGGGATGTTCCAAACGGGTGTTTCAGGAGTATTGCTCAACTTTCTCCGTCTTTCTTGCCATCTTTGTAGTGTGTTCAAAGAACCGGAGGGTTGAACGTGATTTGCAAATGGTTGTAGGGGATCAGAGCCAGAGAGATCCTGCACGCCAACATGGAGAAGATCATCGCGGAGAAGATGGAGCAGGAGCACCATCATGAACATCTCGACGCCTTTGACTACATGTTGTCCAGCGCCAGGGAGCACGGCCACAGCCTCACCATCCAAGAGCTCAAGGTAGCCGCGCCTGGCCTCACGTTAGCACGTTAGCCTTGCAGAGATTGCGTAGGACACCTCAGACCTTCTTCAGAAATGGTTTTAAGACTTGAATGTTGACTTGAACCAGCCTGCAGCCTTAGATCCTTGGGTGAGGGAGGCTTAGAACTCCAGCTGATAGAAGAATATTCTCCACCGGAGTTCTTTCAGTGGGCAGAAACTTCCATCCGATGCAAGCTCCTGAAAGGGTTTTCAGTCGTACCGCCGAAGGAGTTTACGTCAGGGTGTTCTCGCTGACTTTGCAGGAAACGGCCGTGGAGCTGATCTTCGCCGCTCACTACACCACGGCCAGCGCGGCAACGTCTCTGCTGCTGCAGCTCCTCTGCCACCCAGCCGTGGTCCGACGCCTGAAAACCGAGCTGGATTCCGAAGGGCTAATCAGTCCCGGAGATGGCGGCAAAGGTCCTCGGGCGAACTTGAGCCTGGACAAGTTGAGCCGGCTGCGATACTTGGATTGTGTTATCAAAGAGGTTCTACGCTTCCTGCCGCCAGTTTCTGGAGGATACCGGACCGCCCTGCAGACCTTTGAGTTGGACGTAAGTAATCGTCCATCCACACATATCCACAAACGTGGCAGGCAGGACCTTAGATCAAAGCGCACAAGGTGAACCTGAATCTTGTTTCTGAGCAGCTCGCATATTAGCAGCAACATGTTGCCGTGCGGATTGTCGCCTTCTTTGAGGAGGCCCCGCCGTGGCCTCCTCATCCTCAGATGCCCCTCAACTGCCCCCACCGCGCCCCCAATTTGCGCAGGAGGCTTTGTAAAGATGAAAAAGATTTCAGAGGAATTCCCCCAAGACTATAGTGGTCCACATGAGGCTATTGGTGCTGGTCTTTCTCAGGGTAGAACCGGTCTATAGTGCACAAAATGTCATTATGCCTGTTCACTCAAGCTCATCTTTCCAAAGCTTCAACTACCGAGACCCAACCCGGCCCGGTAATTGGGCTGGAGTTAAGAAAAAGCTCCTATCAAAAGGAGAAAAACCACAAGAGACGACGAGTTTCCTCTTGCTGCTTCTTCCCAAACAAAGACTCGAAGCACAGAAATGAAATGAGTTTCTTTCTTCTCCCGGAACTCTCGACTGTGTTACGTTTTCATCCAGAATTGGCGAGGAACGGGCGTAATCAAGGGCCGACTGATGGCTTTTCTTGCCTCGTTCGGTCGGTAACGTGCGTCTTGAGCCGGTGACTTTGACAGCATGGATGGACGGTCAATTGGAATGTGGTCGTGCCCTTTCTTGATTCGCAAACATTGACGGCGGCAGTCAGGTGGGGCTGAACAATTTGGGAAAATCAAACTGCCCCCCACCCCATCTCACTCTTGTGAACACATTTCAATGTGTGTTTCTTTACTCGAGCTTTTCATGAATTTTTCAACAAGCACAAAATTAATTAACCTTCATTACAACGAGCAGCTTTAGATCGACAGATCCTCAAACTGCCCTGAAGTGTAAAATTATGAATACTTTGGCCCGCCGTCTTGTAAGCTTTCACCATGACAACACAAACAAAAGTACTTTACACGTTGCGCAGGTCGAAGAAGCACACTCGTCATATTATAGAGAAAACCACCTACTGGAAACCCGAGTGTGAAGCCTTTGGGATGAGAATCAGCAACTCCAAATTCGAGGCGATGGTCCTCATGGGAAAAGGAGGAAGTGTTGGGGACGAGATCCTGTCCCAGCCCAGGTGGAGGAGTTCGACGATGATGGTGTCTTGCTCATGGGTCAGGGCAGGATGGGGCGGGAAATGGACAGGCGGATCAAGCGAAGCGTCTGCGCTGATGCGGACTCCGTATGGGTCTGTCGGGGTGTAGAAGCAGCTGAGCCCAAACGCCAAGCTCTCGATTTTCCGGTCAATCTACGTTCAGACCCCTCACTTGAGGTCACGAGCTGGAGGCCGTGACCTAATAACAAAGCTCATCGGATACAAGCGGCCGTAATGAGTTTCCACCGCGGGATGTTCGGTGCTCTCTCCCCCTTAGAGAGAGGGTGAGAAAATCGGGCTCGAGCATCTAATTAGGATGCCTCCTGGACGCCTTCCCAGAGAGGTGTTCCGGGTCCGAGCAGGAGGTCCCGGGACACGCTGGAGAGACCATGGCTCCATGAATGCCTGAGGAAGAGTAGCATGAAGAGGCTGGGGGGGCGCTGGCCTCCTCCCCCAGAAGCGCAAGTCAACGGATGGAGGAATGGCGGCATCATTATTCATCAGCACCTTCTGACTCGCAAAGCTTGTCATGCGTGTTGTCCCCGTTTGGTACCTCACAACCTATACTTTGGCTTTCTTCCGCCCACTAGTGCCCAAAGGTTTGAAGGTCAAACATTCGCATCACATCAGCATCCGCGGCGATGCCGTTCACATCCGATTCTCAGTATGTGTTTGTGCTCTCAGGGCTACCAGGTCCCCAAAGGCTGGAGTGTCATGTACAGCATCAGGGACACGCATGAGACCGCCGCCATCTTCCAAGCCCCGGAGCTCTTTGATCCGGACCGTTTCGGGCCGGACCGCGAGGAAAACCGCTCATCCCGTTTCAGCTACGTGCCCTTTGGCGGAGGAGTGCGGAGCTGCGTGGGCAAAGAACTGGCTCAGATGGTACTCAAGACTCTGGCTGTGGAACTGGTGGCGACTTGCGAATGGACCCTGGCCACCGAGGACTTCCCCAAAATGCAGACGGTGCCCATCGTGCACCCCGTCGACGGACTGCATGTGCGCTTCACGCCAAACCAGCCGCTTCGTTAAGACGGACCAGCCTCAAAGGCCCACATCGCAGTCCTCCTGTGTTAGGGTCTGGTCTGCTGACATCGGTGTCGGCGGCGCTTTGTCGCATGTACCGGGAGGCGGGTTCCACTTTTCAGGACCTTCTCAGACTCGGAACTGCATCGACTCTGGTCTTGTGTGCAACGATTCCATTCCGGCAACATTCTCGCCAGAGCGACACGTTCCGACCCGATGTCAACACGCATTCACGCCTAATGGACACCACATCGATACACATTTCCCCTTCCTAGCAATACAATTGAACTCAAATGATAATGACAGAGCACATACTGTATCACCGAGACCATGACACTTTGCGCCGCTGAGCCAAGGACTGGCCAATCCTATTTCTTTGCCGCTGCTGTTATACACAAAAACAATACAGTGGTACCTCTACTTACGAAATTAATTGGTTCTGGAAAAAAATTCTTAACTGGAAAATGTAAGTCGAGACACGTTTTCCATCTAAATGCCTTAATTCGTTCCAAGCCCCCCAAAATTCAGACATAATTGTTTTCTAAAGGATAAAAATGCTTCAAAATATGTAACAAGTACATGTTACAATTAGATTATTGCACAATAAATGAGAGTTGTGGATTAGGCGAAAAGCAAAGAAGAGAGTAACGAATACAAATGAGATTCATGGAACTTTTAACTGCATTATCATTGTTTATGAACTAGGTGTTTTGTAAAGAACGGATACTATGACGTTTGCTTTTGTCGGCTTTTAACGATCCTTCGAAAATGTCCAAGGCAAACATCAGCATAGTGAGCGATCGCCCGACTGGTCAACACTTTTTCTGGGTGATTCACATTCACGCAAAACGATCGGAACGTCTCATGGCCTGAGAGGCGAATGACGAGGACGCTGCATAGAAACACATCAATCTACCTCCACACATAGAGATGTACGGTTGAGGTTTTTCTTAGCCAATGGGATGCCAGGATGATGCTCGGTAGTAGCCAATGGCAGAGCAGCTATGAGTATGCTGCGTTCAGGAAACCCGGAGCTGCGAGCAGCAGCCCGTCCTGTATTTTTTACCTTTCGTATCTTGAAATTTATTTCATAACAAGAGGCAATATTTTCCTGTCGAGGCGTTTTGTAACCAGAAAATTTCGTATGAAGAAGAAGTTTGTAAGGAGAGGTAGCACTGTATTGTGCTTATTTGGGGGGTGGGGAAGGGCAACGTCTTGGGTTTTTAAACAATACTGTGAGCTTTTTTTTTTTTTTTTTTAAATATTGCCAACCTCCCCACAATATCGTGATCATTCTCGTATGGCGAGGTTCACATCCTGATAATATCGTATCGTCACATTTGGATATCGTTCCATCCCTCAAAGTCAACCCTCATCCCATTCGCACACTTTGTCTCAAAAAGTTGACGTGTGACATCAGTACGCAGTCCCACGCTGACAGCCGACATCCAGATCAGCTCTTCCCACTTGACGATCCGCATTCAAACCTCAAGGCCATGGGATCGAAAACACACACTGACAGCCGCCTCTCAACACGTTCGCACCTGATCTCGGCACACCCTTGTAGCGAGACGCGGGTTCACATCTCGAGTCAACAACTTCGCACTTGACATGAACCCACGCTCACGTCCGCTCCCGACATGTCTGCGTGATCGGACGCTTTCGGCAAACGAGTGAGCGGGAGGAAGCCAGCTGCAGGTGTGCCTAATAAAGTGGGCAGCATGTGACTCTGTGTATGTGTGTGTGAGAGGGGTGGGGAGGGTTGGTGGGGGAGGGGGGGTGAGATGAATTAGAAGTTGAAATAAGCGCCGTTTGGAGAGACTTTGGGTGGCCATGAGGACGCTGTGAAATGAAGACGATGGTGACGATGAATCCACGGAAGGAGTTAGCACTTTCTCGCTTGTGTTTCTTGACTCTTTGTGTGCGTGTGTGTGTAGATTGTGTAGATCTTGTACGGCTGCTGTCAATGAACAATTACAAAGTTGTTTTCGCCATGTGACTTGATTTTGTGCGCGTGCACACACACTTACTAGACGTACAAACTGGAACGTAAAAGATGTGCGTGCGGGTGTGTGTGTGCGTGTGTGTGTGTGTGTGTGTGTGTGTGACTTGTATCCATTTGTGAGTGAGGGTGTGCCAAGTGTGTGTACATGTGTAGGTGTGTGAAACGCGTGCTTGCATATGTGTGTTGTGGCGGGCAGGCCTAACGAAGCGAGCCCCGGGGCCCGTCAGCGGTGCCAAGGTTGTTATCTGGTGGACTCCCAGTCGCTGTGAACTTGGCGACATTTTGAAGTGGGAGTTCAGCAGAGTGCCACCAGGCCCACGGGGTCAGTAGGCGGTCATTCCATGGGGGGGGGGAACGATCGAAGCGGCGCCAAGAGCACACAAGGGACCGGCGACGCGTGACGCTACAAAGTTTCCGTGCATGTGGCGGGCGGCGCGGTGGGCCGACGGGCGGCACGTAGGTCTGCCTCACAGGCCACAGGTTCCGCTTTTCACCAGTGGCCTGCTTGCGCGTAATGACAGCGGGTCGACACAATAGCAGCTTCTTCAAACAGCACAATTTGCAGCTTCCCGACACGACATTCAATTCACATTGAACACAATTGACTTGCAGTTGGGGACCCTGGCGATCAGCGAGCGAATTTAGCACACGTCTCCTGGTGGCCACTCTTTTTTGGACACAGACCGGATTTGTGCAAGCGTATATTTTAACGGCTCGTCGACGTGGCAACGCGGAGAGAAGTGCCTCGCTGGCGGCCCTGCTGCGACGCCTTCGTCAAGCACCTCACGGCCAATGTCGCCGGCGGCAGGGGGGGGCCGCCGCCACGACAGGCTATGCAACGCGGCGCAAGGGCCGACTTCAAAATAAAAAGCCAAATAAGTCTTAGGGTACACGAACAACGCCTGAGCAAGTTTTTTATTTTGTAAGCTGGCCTTGGGAAGCAAAGCCTGAGGCCGGACAGACCTCCACAAAAGCGTGCTGACAGACTCCAACTGGGGTGCAAGATTGCATTTCCAGGGCTCGTGCGCACCAGCATACCACTTTTGTGCACCCCGCCGGTCTGCCTTGATATTGATGGCAAAAGGTCTCCCCTTCTGTCCTGATTTGGACTGATGACCAGTCCACTTTTTGTCTTATTTTATGTGCCATGATATTGGTTAGTGACCAATTCATCGTTTGTCCTCGTGCGCCCTGTCATTGACAACCAGTCCATTGTCTATACGCACCGTGACAGTGGCCAGCGACCAGTTAGTTGCATGTCTGTATGTAGCTAGTGACCGGTCCCTTGTCCGAGGTTTTAGTGAGCCAACGGCACTGCCGAGGCCTGCCGTGCGACGTGCTCGTGTGACACTCGCTTGCGTCCAGGAAATCGTGTCACATGCCATCCATGTGTCCAAACCATTTTTGTTTGCCTGAGCTCCCAAAAGGCCCCCCCCCACCCCCGCTCGCGCTCGCCTCGCACGTTTCGCTCGTCTTGCGACGGAAGGACAACAAGAGCGTGCGTGTGCAGATTTGGTCTTGGGGTTTATTTTCATCTCTTCAGACCGCAGCGCCGCAGTCTTGGCGGGCGGAGTGCAGAGTCGCTCGGCGCCGTCCTCCGTCGCGCCTTGTCCTCGTGGGTCATTGTGTCACTCGACAGACAAAAAGAGAATTGTGTCCATCCGCTTGCGGCAATGCTCGCGTCTCGGTGGTTTCAAAATGTTGCCCGGTAGGCTGCACACTGACGTTCTTCCCTCCGTGGACACTTTGGCTTGCCTCGTCACGCATCAAACATGAAAGTGAACTTCTAGCGTCTGGTTAGTAGCACAAGTTGTCAACAAATCTGAGGTGGCTGTGGATGGGAGGTCCACGCCAGATTGGAGGTCAGGCTGCAAGGTTGTTTCAAGGCAGATTCGTGGGAGGTTTGATGCAGATGGAGGTCATTCAACAAGCAAAATCCTTGCGGAGGAGTGGAATATCATTGGCAGATTGGCGGCAGGTGAGTTTGAAAGTGGAGGAAGTTCAACGGCAGGTTGGTGGGACAAAACTGGCAGGTGGCGGTAGGTGGCAGTTGATAGCAGATTGCTGGCAGGTGGAGGGAATTTCAAGTCAGCTAGCGGCAGAAAATGGCAAGTGGCGGTCGCTTCAATGTTGCCTGGTGGCATTGGCAACGACTGGTGGCAGAAAAGTGGCAGATCGGTGGCGCATTAGCGGAAGGCGTTGCAGGTCAACTGGAGACGGCCGGCAGGTACGTGTCGGCGTCTTGACAGCTGAGAAGCCGGTGAGTGCAACGTGCTCTTGTCTCAGGTGTACAGAAGAAGCCAAGGTGATTTCCAAGGTTAGCAAGTGAAGTCAGAGCGGCGCCGGAGGCAAAAGTAGGAGGAGGAGGAGGAAGGGTG